TTCTCGAGCGCTATGACATGTCCTTCTTCAAACGAGGCTTGTGGAGAGTATTAAGCGGTAGGCAGCGGCTTGCTGAAGTCCATGGGCGACGGTAACCACTCACCATCAGGTGGGCCGTATGCTCGTCTGCCTACAAGGGCAATACAAAAAAAAAGTAATAAGTTCTCCTAAAACTGTCTCGATTCTTACATACCCCATACTAGCTAACTCTTGAATGCTCCAAATAGAAGTCGAGTTTTCGTATTTTAATAGTCGAGATGAACTGATAAGTTCACCGCCCACTCGTTACCTACAGACAAAATCTAAAGAGACAACCGGACACTAATAAAAAAGCTATCTAAAAAGTAGTCGTTAATGAATGTTAATTAAATTAAAACAATCGTAATTTCTATGAAATGCTATAGGTACTCACAGATTGAAATTGTATTACAATTAACTTTACTAAATAATAGTTTTATTTAGTGATTTAAAATCAGAAACTTAAAGAAGTTGCTATATAGGCCAAGTTTTGTAACGCTGCAAGTTTTTTTTGAAGTTATCGTGGCCTAAAGGATAGGACGTCCGGTGCATTCGTATCTAGCGATGTAGGTGCCGGTGTTCGAATCCCAGGCGGGTTCAATTTTCCTAATGAAATACGTACTTAATAAGTGTTCACGATTGACTTCCACGGTAAAGGAATAACATCTTGTAGTAAAAATCAAACCCGCAAAATTATAATTTGCGTAATTACTGGTGGGAGGACCTCTTATGAGTCCGCACGGGTAGGTACCACCACCCTGCCTATTTCAGCCGTGAAGCAGTAATGGGTTTCGATTTGAAGGGTGGGGCAGCCGTTGTAACTACATAATATACACTAAGACCTTCGAACTCATATCTGAAGGTGGGTAGCGGCATTTATGTTATAGGTGTCTATGGGCTCCGGTACCCACTTAACGCCAGGTGGGATGTGGCTCGTCCACCCATCTATGCAATAAATAAAGAAGCTTTGATAATGGTTTTCGATTTCCTACAGCACTTGCGGAATGGCTCAAATAAAGCTTTGTTTGCGGTAGAAAATGTTCAAACGATTATGTCATACACTTACAATTAGAAAAAGGGTGAATGCTGTTAGAGTCATCTAAAATATCAAAAGGTCCTTCACAGAGCTGAGGCCCGAACGAAATTATGCAAACATATGTAACGTTGAAAGGGTGCGCACGCGACGTCTTTGAACTTAGAGATCGACGTATCTTTGAGAGAATTCCCGTGCTAATTTCCCAAACTCGGTTTCATTCAGATAAGACCAGAGGTGTCTTTGATGTAGCCGTTCCCTCTGACTTCGGGGATGAGAGCCTCTCGATGAAAGGATTTTTTTCATCTTCCTTCCCTTTTGTACTTAATTTAAATTTCGTTTATATCAATGCTCCGAATTTCCTTTTGCGGGCCGTGTGTTTTCCTTTGTCGCGCTCCATCCTCCTACCAATTCGTAACGTTCGCCTTCGTTTTTTATTTCTTTCTAATTAAATTTAGTGTTTCGTAATCTGTTTCGTGTTTTTTTTTTTTTTTNCGATGAAAGGATTTTTTTCATCTTCCTTCCCTTTTGTACTTAATTTAAATTTCGTTTATATCAATGCTCCGAATTTCCTTTTGCGGGCCGTGTGTTTTCCTTTGTCGCGCTCCATCCTCCTACCAATTCGTAACGTTCGCCTTCGTTTTTTATTTCTTTCTAATTAAATTTAGTGTTTCGTAATCTGTTTCGTGTTTTTTTTTTTTTTTCATTTCTTTCTTCTGTTTTCGTTCGTGTTCCAACAACAGGTGTGATTGCAATTCATAAATTAGTGAGGTCTTTTAATTATTCGACATGTTCTTAGAAACGATTTTCTGGTATGAGATTCGATTACATTTTTTTTTCAATTTATTTCGCAGATTTTTGGTAAATGGACGTACTTCTCTACTCCCTGGAGCTATTTATTCGGATGTCATTGGTCAAGGGTATTGAAAAAGCTTTTTTTTTATTGCTTAGATGGGTGGACGAGCTCACAGCCCACCTGGTGTTAAGTGGCTACTGGAGCCCATAGACATCTACAACGTAAATGCGCCTCCCACCTTGAGATATAAGTTCTAAGGTCTCAGTATAGTTATAACGGCTGCCCCACCCTTCAAACCGAAACGCATTACTGCTTCACGGCAGAAATAGGCAGAGTGGTGGTACCTACCCGTGCGGACTCACAAGAGTTCCTACCACCAGTAAAAAACCAGCTTACACCCATATTGAAGCATCTGTTCGTAGTCTCAATTGCATTGCGCGGATAATAACAAGATGTAAACAGACAGCTGCCAATTCTTCTAAAGATATAAGTACCTAGCTAGCACTTGGTTCACGCACGACTTCCACAACCATGGAATGATTTTGATGTCATTAAGACTTTGATATAGTGTCTCAGTGCTTTTCTTCATATTTTAGTCTATGGACTATTGAAGTGAAAACTTCTTTAGAATCGTTGTGATTTCAAACCGGATGCAACGGAAAAAACGACAGGTAAGAGACACAAATACAAAAATGTGTAGGATGAAGCCAGCAAAGAATGAGACAGAAATATACATACTATTTAATACAGCGCCATCTGTGAGATTTTTTAATACTAACGTGTGTATGAAAGCTCTTGTAGTGGATTTTAATTTAGGATTATACGTGAAATTAAAATATCAATTCACAAAGGGCGCTACCTTACAATTATTTACTAATGACAAAATTTTACATATACTTAAGACGTTTAGGATAATTGTATTTTAATTTTGGAAGGTTTCACTTCTACCACGTGTGAATTGCACACATGTATTTTTTTTTATATTTTTGGGCAATTTTTTTAAACATAGTTAATCTCAGTTGGTTCTCGACCTATTGTTACCTATTTATAAAAAACAAATAAACCCATATTACTGAAGTCATAATATTCAAATTGTTTGCGGTACAATTTGAGAACAAAGTCAAGTTTCTGCTATTTTTAGGGTACCGGAATGTATGATGATTGTTTCGTGTCAGAAATCGTTTTTTTGTTTTTGGTACCTATTCCTTGACAACTCAAGGGCTATTCTTTCTACGCCCGGCGAGTAAGTGAGCTCACGGGCTCAACCTGAGAGAATTTGTTAACACTAGCCCTAGCAAGAGCAGTGCTTCGCCACCGTATGGGTATCGCGACCCCCTGAAAAGATCCACCGAGAAACTCAGTGTATAAAGATATGGGTAGAACGGTGACACCATTACTATTAGTCCATATCGCCCTTCAACGACTAATACACTTAAGTACTCTCCTGTGTATTACGTAGACGAGTCAAAATTGCGTATCAATTTGTTCATTTGCCTTTGAACATCGTCTGTATGTTGAAAAGTAGTAACTATTGTATAGACTGAGGTGTACAAGGACCACGGAGAAGCTGTCTAATACTAAAAAAGACGAAATTTCGTATTTTTTGTTTGGAAAATCCAGTGGAGGAAGGATGTCTCATTGTCATAACGCCGCAGCAACATCGAGGAAATTCAGCCCACTGAGTTTCTCGCCGGATCTTGTCAGTGGGTCGCGTTTCCGAACCGGTGGTAGATTCTGCGAAGCACGGCTCTTGCTAGGGTCAGTGTTAGCAACACTTCCGGTTTGAGCCCCGTGAGTTCACCTACACGTTAAGGAGAAGCTGAAATAGCCTCTCAAGGCTATCAGCATAGGTAGGAGAAAAAAAAGAGGAAATGAGTCAATTCCAGACTACGTTGAAATTTACTCCGATAGCGGGTGGATTGATGGCATAAAGGAAATGCCATAAGTGTATAATACATCTAAACAATTTAGTAATGCACTTTCCATAGAGGTTCTTGCATAGAGCCCACAAGCCTCCACCGTTAGAAAAGTTTCTCAAGGAACAACATTAATAAATCCTCACAAAACGTAGTTATTTATTTGGTTTAAAAAGGACGTATTATTCGCGCAGTACATCGTGAAGGTGTCGCGACACAAAGAGTTTGTTGCTCGAAGTGAGTTCAGAATACAGTCCGCATTACCCGAAGAGTCGGCATCCACAAAGGCGCCACTTTGTGGACTCGTCTTTGACTTTACGAACGTGTCTGCGACATTAATAACCCTCTAATAGCGTACCTGTTCGACAATAGATGTACTAATTAATTATGCCTTTGGATAACATATGCAATTTTATCTTATCTAGTTGTTTTTATTTTATTATACTATACATAGTGTAGTTTTGTTTGTTTTGAGTTCATAAAATCGTTGGCATATTTTTCGTTACTTCGTATTATTTTAAGTTATGATTTCATATCAGATCGTCGCAGTCCTTAATTACACAATTGATTAATTAAAAAGTAATATCGTAAAATTGATCTACATCGCATTAATTTTCGAGAATTTCCCTAATAAAATATCTGAAATTACACGAGCCTTTTATCAAGAACAAAACACTCGTAGATTCAATTTTTCTCATAATTTTATTAGTGACAGTTTAATTAGCGCTGCTTTCATCGGAGCCGCTTTGATATTGTGAACGTTTCAAATAGATTTCACAAGAAGCACTTTCAAAGGGAGCACCCCTAATAAGTACTGAAGAGTCCTCGCACGTGTTTATCAAAGACAGCCTTTCGTTACTCACCGTCTGAATGGCCTCAAAAGAAACTCGTGTAAAATGCTCCACAAAGTGCCGTATCAAAGGGAAGGCGGGCGCAAATATCTGTTTCGTAAACTAGTAAAAACGGAGCTCTCAAAGGTACTGCGTACTCGCGGCAAATTAGGCGGAGTTAAATACGAGACTCGTTTTCTCGAAAGAAAAAAAAATAAATAGATTTATATAACTTTGAAAGTGACTCTGCGTTCATAATTTATGTAAGTCGCTGCGATAGCCCAAACGTTCGCTCGTATTTTATTTCGGACGCGTCAGTCGGACCTAGGCCGAACTGAGTCTCGCGCGAACCTCACGGGCGCCGGGCTCGCGTGTAGGTAAGCCTCGCATGTGTATCCATTTAATGCTCAATTCCCATATAATTTAACTTTGCGATCAAAGCGAAATTTTGCAAAGAGCTTCCCGGCGGCGGCGGCGAGCAAAGGCGGGTGCGAGCGAGACGCACACAACGGAGTTCCCGAGATCAAATGCTGGGCCAAATTAGTCACTCTCCGACTCTCTATCTCAAAGCCGATCCGTAGCAAAGTTTGCGCGAAGATGACATCAAAAGGAAACCACACACTGGGGTGGCGACGCCCGACACCCCCGGCCCCATACTTAAATCCGCCGTGTCTCTGCTGTCTTATTGACACGCGACTGACAACTTGCAAGTCGCCAACGTGCCGACTGTTTCAGAACTCCGCTTTACGAGACTTATTTAGTTAATTAATACGGAATGTCCTATCAACTTCCAACTCCCACAACGCTGCGTACACTTACTCGGTTCGGCTCTCGGCAAACTTTAATCATATGTGTTTTCACCTAGCCGAGTTCGTGTGTGCTGCTTTTAATGAATGACTTGTGTATCGACCGAATAGGTACACGATTATGAAGCACAAATTTCACCGACTGTGTCGGAAAGGGCATGACGTGAAAAGCTAAAGTGCAATTACTGATGTCGCGGATTGATATTTTCTATCGTAATGTTACGGTCCTTTTTGGGCGAATCTATGATCATCAAGGTTTGGTTTTAAGTGAACTTCGTACGCTGTAAATAATCTAGGAGAATTTGTGAGATGAGAAATCAGGGTATACTGTGCATTCATACACTCAATAGCTACTTTCGTTGGATGTTCTTTCGTTATCATTCGAAATTTCTTCAGACAGCTTCGGGAATCCTCGTCGCATATTAAATATTAAAATATATATTTTATTACATTTTTAAATGTAAACACATTTATATATGTTTCGGGATCAAATACCTAAAACCCGGTATTGTTTTTTTTTATAAGCCATGGCCCTTTTTTCATTTTATTCACGATATAAATATGTATGTAGATTAAAAATTTACTGAAAATAAGGTTCCACAAAAAAAAGTTAAATATCTACAAAATCAAGAAGCGTTCAAGACGACATACATAATGAAAAACAAAAATAAGAAATATTAACGTTCTAAAATTAAAAAAAGCCTTTGTATGTTCCGAAGGAAAATGCAATCAACACTTGAACTTCAAGTTTAACAAGATGAAAGGAATAAATATACATACTTACTTAGGTTTCCGCAAAGTTTTGAATCCGTACAAACTCTACAAACTTTGAAGCTACGAATTTCTCAACACAATGGGACGTTTGTATCGTTAATTCTTAGAAAAAATTAAACGTCCTTTACTGGTGGTAGGACCTCTTGTGAGTCCGCGCGGGTAGATACCACCGCCCTGCCTATTTCTGCCGTGAAGCAGTAATGCGTTTCGGTTTGAAGGGTGGGGCAGGCGTTGTAACTATACATGAGACTTTAGAACTTTTATCTCAAGGTGGGTGGCGCATTTACGTTGTGGATGTCTATGGGCTCCAGTAACCACTTAACACCAGGTGGGCTGTAAGCTCGTCAACCCATCTAAGCAATAAATAAAAAAAAAAACACTATTTGTAAAAAAAAAAACAGCAAGGAACCGATGGAGCGTTATAAAATTATACAGTTTTAGAGTAGATTTCTAGATGTAGGTATATTTTACTGGTGGTAGGACGTATTCTGAGACCGCACATGTCGATACCGCCCTGCCTAGTTCTAACGCATTCCGGTTCAGTAATTTACTGTTTAGCTTGGTTTCGCGATGATATGATCACCGCGAGACGCGAACGTATGACGGCTTCGCGGTAGGAAATGTAGGGCGGTAGTACCTACCCCGTACGGGTTTGTATTACCGCCTACCGCCGTTTGAAAGGTCCAGTTTGACTTCGATCGTGGTAATGTGAAATTACCGGAGACACCGCTTAACACTAGAGGTATTTTGAGCGCTCTAGAGGTGTGGTTTTTAAGCAGCCTGTAAACATCACCACATTAATGTCGCCACCCACAAAGAAGTCTCACTTCCATTGAAAAAAAAAAGGCTTTACCTAACCTCTAAACTTGGAATTTATAACTAGTTCAAAGAATACGACTGTTGTTATTCTGAATATTCCTGAACGCTAATTTTGTTCATTAAAAAAAAAAAGGATTGGAATTTCGAAATTCGAACCGGACTATCTTCACCCAATGACGTTTAAGTCGGTATTGTGAACTCCTGCGCACGGTTTATGGTCTCGGTCGATTCCGGGAACTGAGTCCTGTGGGCCGCGCCGCCTCATATCTACCTACGCGCTGTCCCTTTGTGACGTCACTAACTGCCTGCCCTTTGCCGAACCTCGTTTTTTTTTTTTCGTTTCACGGCATTCGTATCAATGTGTTTGACTGGTATACATTTTTATCGAATTCAAGGAAAGTATGAAAGTATATTTTTGTTATTATTTTCATTCGCCGAATAACCATCAATTCACGCTGAGACCCGCTAATGTCGTGGCTATGAAATGTACGGTACCTACGCCCGCTTCAATTATTAACCCAGTGAGTTTCTCGTCGGATCTTTTTACTGCTCTTCTTACGGCAGATGTCCAATCAGTCCGGAGAAGCTGGAATACCCCCGCGAGGCTACAGGCGATTAGGTAGAATTTTTTTTATTGATATGTAGTTCTTAAAAAAAAACAGACTGGCTCATGTGCCCATGTCTATCAGAAAATAATTCGCGCATGCTTAAGAAGCTGAAAAAAAAGCTCAAAAGCTACCGCCAAAACGAAATTCTTTTGAGGTCGAGTCTAGTTTTACATGTATATAACACATTAGGATACCTACGATTTATTTCGATACACACCAATCGCGATATGATGATTGTATAACGTACAGAGTCACCGCCTGCATTCAACTTCAAATCAATCATTCAACTTTTTGTTTCACTCCTGTAACACGATTATAATATCTCGCATCTGCGTTACCTGACGTACCTATACGTTCAAACGGTTTTGATTTAACCGTACGTTACGCTTAAAGTTTATTTTACTTCGTTGCGTTATCTCCACGTTCGGTTTCCATTGAACAGAGGAACCGGTTTTGTGAAGGAATGCCGGTCAGTGCTCGGGCGGCTTTTTGCTTTGGCTGCCCACGCGGCCGGTTCATGGTGGCGCCAGCGTCTCTCTCGCCAAGGCGGTGTCTGATAAGCGGCACGTTGCAAATATTCGATGTAATTTTATATTTTACGACTTTTAGAATCGACGATGTACGATCGGATCTCGGATAATGTTCTCGGTAATGTTTTCTCGGTTTTTTTTTATTGTTTCGATCGTTGTATGTATTATCAATAGAAATTAACGTCTTATAAATAAAACTCGAATTATGCGTCGATAGTACTGATATCAGAAAATACCTTTAATAAATACATTTTTATTTTTCTTAAAAAATCATATTTGGCCTTGATACTATTTTAAAGAACGAGGGCTTTATTGATTATGCCTGTCTGGTTATTAATTCGTAGAAGCGGGTAGGCGAACGCAGACGCGAGCCTACGATAACAGTATATTCAGCTATTTTCATCCCCTTAGCCCCTAGTACCGGTCGTAAGTTCTGGTGGTCGAATTACCATATATTAGGTCGATACTGGTCCCGGCAGCCGCTATGCAGCAGCAAGGTTTAGAATCAAGACTCACCCTCTACTTTCGACCTCATCAGAAGATCCATGGCTGTATTCGGGGTGTATGTAGGATCTACGCGTCGGTGGTTACCAAATTAGTCGTGAAAAGTGACTGTAGAATGAGTTGTAGTCCAGAAACCATCCGAATTTCAATCGGTTAGATCTAGTTGTATTGGTTAATCTTAGCTCAGTCAAAAAATGTAGCATCAAACGTAAAGTTGAAAATGTAAACATTGGATTCAAAATGCAACTTTCATTTTGAAAGTTCGGCTCTATAATTATTTTTAAAAATTCGGCTCTGACGCAAACGTCATGACCACTGGTAGACTAAAGAGTGCGAGTAGGATGTTAGGAGCTGACGAATCTGTCCACCCTCTTTCTTGTCCGCCCCAACATTTAAGTACGTTCACTTATGTTATCGACAGTATTTTCCGGAACTTTGAAAACGCATTGTTTTTTACTAAACCTAATCAGGTTTAGTGGCCGTGTGGATAGCCGCAGAAAGCTTAAAACGTTTCGTGCCGTAATAAAATAATTCTCACGTTGCATTAACGATTCACATAAATAAGGAACGAAAACAATCGTAAACAGATCCATAAAGTTGTATGTCCGAACGTTTAATGTGGAAGACTGGCCTATTTAGTGTTGAGTGCAATTTTGAATGTGGCGGGTAGCCATCATACAACGCAAGATATTTGACAGATGCCTGAATCTCGCTTACGACATTTTCAAGATAAGCTTGCATATATACAAGTTCCGAACAACAACATTCGGCCCGTCGGTCTACCGAGCAAATATCACCCGATCGGTGGAAGATCTTCCCTTTGTCGTAAGCCCCAAACTGGTGACCCCGACGTGATTGTCGCCAAAATTGAGTAGCGAACGCGTTTCCCGTGGAATGCATTGTTATTTTTGAATCGTGAAATCTTTCTAGAACGGTCGCGAGTACTGAGTAGCGAGCGGCTAATGTAAACAACGCCACTGTACTGTAACGCAAATACTCGGGATTATCATTTAGCTGATTGTTTACTTGTGACTGTCTGTCTCCTCGGCTGGAATTGTTGGACTTACCCTCTGCCTGAGATTATAAGTTAGGTACTTTGTGAATTTCGTCGTAGTCTCGCTACAAAATATCGTTATTGCCATTAAGATTATTCGAGTGGAGTCGAGCGGCATCAACTTTGTAAGGTAATTTGTCTCCGGTAACCGCTTAACATTAGACAGGCCGAAAACTCTTCTATCACTTCTAGCTAATAATAATTCAAAAATGTAAATAACAGACCTAAAGATTTAGGTTGTTTTTTTTTGTATTTTTTTGTAGTAGTTGTAGTAGTAGTAGTAGTTCTATTTTTCCAACTGGAAAGGCAAAGGTATCATGCTATAATCTTTTATAATTATTTTAATGAAAAACGATATTAAGAAGGGAAATGAAATGAAGTTTGGAACATTAATCAGTTGGCATGAAATTAAAGGAAATGAGATGATATGGGATGAAATATAATCTCAGTAAAATGGTGGTTATTTACTGAGACTTTTTCTGTAGACTTTTTGGAGTCTCGAGAAGCTACATCCAGCGGCTTTGTTTCATTTTTCCACATTTGTGCACTTTCACAGATATTAAACAGTTAATAAACCACCTTTATAACACATTTAAACTTGAAGAAACACTAAATAGACAAAATAAAACAATTCACACAATTTAGCTCCTCGAGTTCCCGCCAAAAAGTCTCATTATAAAGTGCTGCTATCTTATAAAATGCCCTTACACTAGTGAATTTGTTTGATTTGTTTACGATCTATGCGCTATCTGTCTTTTATCACATGGCGTTAAAACTTTGTTACCGTTAGAATTTCAGAGGATACACACAATCGTGTGTGATCACAAATACGTGTTTTATAAACGTAAGGACTTTTTGGCGGGAACGCGAGGAGTGAAGTCGTGTGATTTGTTTTATTTTGTTTATTTAGTGTTTCTTCGGGTTTAAATGTGTAATAATGGTGGTTTATTAACTGTTTAATATCTGTGAAAGTACACAAATGTGGGAAAATGAAACAAAGCCGCTGGACGTAACTTCTCGGGATCCTCCAAAAAGTCCATTGAAATAATCTTAGTAAATGACCACCATTTTACTGAGATTCTATTTCATCCCATTTAATTTCATCCCATTTCATTTCATTTAATTTCATCCCAATTGATTAATGTCTCAAATTAATCATCTTCATTTCATTTCACTCCATAATATCATTTTTCATAAAAAAATGAATATAAATTAAAATAAGACATGACTTAAAGGTCTCAGTTACCAGGTCATAAAAACCCTTAAAAAAAAATATAAACGTAATATATTTATTTATTTTTTATTTATTTTTACTTTATGCACAAAACAAAACTTGTACACAGGCGGACTTAATGCCATGGGCATTCTCTTCCAGTCGACCATAGGGTGGTGCAGAGATAATGCATGGTAGGTGCATTGACAAAAGAATAACAAACAACAACAACAACAAAAAAAAAGAACAAACAAGAACAAACAAATATACATATTTAGCATTAGTCTGAACGGGTTGTCATGTTTCACTGTTATGGATTTTTTGTTATATTGCTTACATAGTTGGACGATTCACGGCCCACCTCGGGTTAGAAGGTCACCGATGCCCATAGACATCAACAACGTAAATACCGCCCCGATATTGAGACTACATAAATCTCAGTTTTATAGTACAACGTTTGTATCACTCTTCAAATCGAAACGCATTGCTGTTGACTTGTTACTAAAAATAGCTTTACTCTGCACTAAACTAAGAAGATTACAGAATATACTGATTAAACTTTTGTTTCTTTTCATTTCAGGATGTTAACCTCCTCTTTTCCGGCACCATTCAGCTAGGTTTTGAGGTAAGCTGAAGCAGACATTATGACCTTGGTTCAGGCACATCCAGAAAGCCTGTTATAGTATTTTTACGCGCTGTGGTTCGGGATAAATAAAACTTGCACCGAAGTATTAAAATTGTGTTAACACCTAGAACACTTACAGAGTACTTTACAATTAGTAATTGACTTCTTCAGAGTGATAGAACTTCAATGTCATTTTTCTGCAGTTGATACGTATTTAGAATTATAAAATCAATCCTGTGTAATCAATTCTTAATCCAAAGATAATTGTGTGTTTCAATATAGAATCAAAAGGACTGGCAGTGTTTCTATTATCCCGAGACCCACAGCGAATCTCTAAAATCTATATATATTAATACGTGAAGCAAAAACTTTGTATCCCTTTTAACGAAAATTGCGCGGACGGAGGAGTATGAAATTTTCCACACTTATAGAGAATATAGAGAAGTGCACAATGCTAATATATTTTTTAAATAATGCATAAAAGATACATTAAATCAATAAAGAAAACATTACACACACTACATACCATGTATTTGACGCACACACGCATGCATACTATTTATTGTCAAACTTTTGTTCTTGACGTCTGTTGTCAAATTGAGATTAAATATTGTTTGTCTTTGTTAATATTTATTTGTGATTATCTAATATATAAAATTCTCGTCTAATATATAAAATTCTCGTGTCACAGTTTTCGTTGCCATACTCCTCCGAAACGGCTTGACCGATTTTGATGAAATTTTTTGTGCTTATCCGGTATCTATGAGAATCGGCCAACATCTATTTTTCATCCCCCTAAATGTTAGGGGTAGTCCACCCCTAAATTTAATTTTTTATTTTTTAGACAAAATTTTTAATTTCTATGATACAGCATACAAAAATACATACAACCCTAAATTTTCACCCCTCTACGATCAACCCTTATTTTTTATTTGCTAATTAAAAATTTTAAAATTTTTTGCGAGAATTTTGTTTTTATTTTGTCATGACGTGGGAATAAAAAAATTCATATTACTCTGAAATTTTCACCCCTCTATGATCAACCCCTATTTTTTATTTGTTAATTATAAACTTTAATTTTTTTGGCAAGATTTTCATTTTTTTTTTATTACGTCATGAATTAAAATAAAAAATCTGATGTTACTACTCTCAATTTTTCATCCCTCTATGATCAACCGCTATTTTTTATTTGTTAATTATAAACTTTAATTTTTTTGGCAAGTTTTTTATTTTATTTTGTTATGACTTAAAATAAAAAAAATCATAATATTACTCTCAATTTTCACTCTTATATGATCAACCCCTATTTTTCCACCCCGATTAAAATTTTTTTTTCTATGCACAGATCTGCAATAAGGTTGCAAGATGGCAATCAAATTTTATAATTGTAGTACGATAAATTCTTATTCAGAGTTTATAATTTCAAGTTCCTTTAATTATGATTTTTTTTAAATTGAATTTGATCTCCCGCCCTCGCCGGTCGACTACTGATCAACTATCAATTGATCAGCTATCCCCGCCAGGTGTCACCACTCATCCAGCAAACATCACGTAGTAGGGATGAGGACGAAGCCGGTCTCCTGTCTTACTTACTCACTATACATCATAGATTATACACTTAATATATAATTTGAGAGCTATACAATACTATACATTTTTCAGCCATGTTTTTTTGGTTTTATTTGTGTATCAATAGTATGTTCAGTAGGTCTGAGAATCGGCTACTATCTATTTTTCATACCCCTAAGTGAAAATGGTTGTCCACCCCAAACATTTATTTTTTATTTTAATTTTTTGGATATTTTTTTTGTTTATAATGAGGTATTATGTGGTTAAATGAGGTTTTTTTTCTACAGTAGAATTTCCCTAGAAATCTTATTTAAGGCAACACAACGTTTGCCGGGTCAGCTAGTAGAAGTATAAAATACAATCATAATAGTATACAAACTTACAATTCCAATTAATTATAGTCGAATTTCGACTACTACGGGACCTCTAGTATAATATAAAAGCTTGTTATGGTGTAGTATAAAAGTTTTAAAATAAATTATAAAATATCTTCAAATAATCAAAAACAATTATGAATCCAATAAACCTAAAATGTGAAGAGGTCGAATAATAAAACTGTACAATGGTATTAGTGGTAAGCGTAGTGTTTTTTTTTTCCTACTCAAGCTGATGGTCTACAGAGATCCTGTCAGCGTCACTGGACTAGTAGGTGAGCTCACGGGCCTCAAACTTGACGACGTTGCTAACACTAACCCTAGCAAGAGCAGTGCTTCGCAGAATCTACCACCGGACCGGAAACGCGACCCACTGAGAAGATCCGGCGAGAAACTCAGTGGACTGTGTCTCTGGGTTAATTTACTCGCCGTGCCCTTCGTCGCAAGCAACGGGTTCGACGAGAACGATGACCGGAAGAATGTTGTTGTTCGGAGCTGGTATATATGCAAGTTTTTCTTGAAAATGTCGTAAGCGAGATTCAGGCATCTGTCAAATCTCTTTGTGTTGTATGATGGCTACCCGCCATAATGTTTAACGTAGTAGAACATATTTTTACTATAGTAATCGCCACAAATCAATCTTCAAAAACTGCTAGGTTTTATTTTCTTTCAATCAAAATAACGTTTCATTGCGATAACGATATATACACCTGTTACTCGTCCATTTATTTCTATTGTGACCAATCTATAATATAATGATTAGTGCGGCTTTTTTGCGATTTGCTCTTCTATCGCACAAAACTTAAGAGCTAAAATTGTACGTTCTCGTTTCCGATGCTGACCGCGTAGTTCGGGAAACGATATTAAAAATGAAGGAAATATTCTCGACCAATATACCATAAAAATAATTGTTTGCTAGTTTCCCACGTAAGCTTATTTTGGGTGTGTTCATTTGAACGGCGGAAACTGCAAGAATGCTAGGAAATTTTTTTTTTTTATTTCCCTTGTAGGCGAGCATACGGCCCACCTGATGGTGAGTGGTCACCGTCGCCCACGGACTTGAGGAATGCCAGGAGCAGAGCCAAGCCGCTGCCTACCGCTTAATACTCTCCACAAGCCTCGTTTGAAAAAGGACATGTCATAGCGCTCGGGAAACACCGTGGAGGGGAGCTCATTCCGTAGCCGGATGGTACGTGGCAAAAAAAGACCTCTGGAAACACACTTTCGATGTAATAAATGTCGATTGTAATAATACAAGATTAGAATTGTTGTGAAAATAATAATTATCAGATTATTTTGACACTAGGTATATTAAAATCAAAACGATTGCACTCTAGAATAATAATATACTTCTTCTAATCATCAATCCAAGTACTGTCCTGCATTATTCTGTCGAATCATTGTATATAAAAGTCGTGCAACACCGCACAGGTTTGTACTATGAAACGATGCATTAATAGTATGCCCCAAATAATAATAATAATAGTAATAATAAAAGTAAACATTGCGAACGCTAAAAAAAAACATTGAATTTCACGTCACGCTCCAAAACTAGCGATCTCAATCTAATTACTTCTACCCGTTTACACCGTAAAGAGGCTCGTACTACGCAAACATAAAAATGCCGGTTTCAATGTTCAAGAAAAAAAAAACAAAAAGAAAAAAAAAGACCGCTAATTTTTTATATGAAACTCGCGAGCGTGATTCACGTGAGCCCTAGACGGTAAATTAAGTGACATTAGAGGCTATAATGCCGGCAGAGGATGAAAGCGGAGTGCTGTTGTGAGACGCAAGGCTAGTCTCACGAGTACGCGAGACGGGACGCTGCTGGTTCTCGATTAAACGCCGGTAAATATACGAAGCTAGTACGAATAGTACTAGTATGTATTTAGTGGTATGAATGTAATCCGCGCGTCTAGTTTTGCGGTCCTCTGCTGATTCCATGCCCACTTACGTCTTTTTTTGTTCCTACCTATGCTGATAACCTTGAGAGGCTATATCAGCCTTACCCTAGCGTGTAGGTGAGCTCTCGGGGTTCAAACCGGAGGTGTTGCTAACACTGGCCCTAGCAAGAGCAGTGCTTCGCAGAATCTACCACCGGATCGGAAACGCGACCCACTACTGAGAAGATCCGGCGAGAAACTCAGTGGGCTGTGTCATGGGTTAATTTACTCGTCGAGGACGGTGACCGGTGCTTGAGGTACCTAAAAGCACCGTTATAGGGTTCGGGAGGATCCGTAATGACGTGCTTAGGGCGACGCAAATCGTCGATGTAAAGCACGTGCTACATGAATGAATCTGAATGGAACAGGTGTAATGTGTTACATTCAATGTTCCATAAAGCACCTTACTTTTCTTACAATTCACTCGACACTCGAAATCGAATATCCTCACCAATTAAATGTATATGCCGTTGGTTTCTATGTTAATATGGTCATATGAAAAAATTCTAGTTACGTTAAAATTTCTGTGATGAAAAGGTTTGAATTAAGGTTTGATTTACTTTTATTATAAATCGACTTTCGTAATTACAAAGTATGCATAGCAAAAAAGTACTTTAATTACGTTATTTTGATTTACGAACGCAATACTTTTTTTTCCTACCTAAGCTGATAGCCTTGAGAGGCTATGTCAGTGGAACCTTATCTAGTAGGTGAGCTCACGGGGCTCAAACCTGACGAAGTTGCTAACACGAACCCTAGCAAGAGCCGTGCTTCGCAGAATCTACCACCGGATCGGAAACGCGACTCACTGAGAAGATCCGGCGAGAAACTCAGTGAGTGGGCTGTGTCTGAGGGTTAATTTACTCGTCGAGCCCTTCGTCGCAAGCGACGGGTTCGACGAGAACGGTGACCGGTGCTTGTAGTACCTAAAAGCACCGTTAGTGGATCGGGAGATGACGTGTTTGGGGTGACGTCGACTGCTTTCCATTCTTTCCGCAGGATCGGGAATGTAGTTACCGGCGGCCACGATGAGAGGGTTCTCGTGTCGTGCCGCTTTATCGAAGTGGCGCAACGCAATGCATATTTATTTTTATAATAAGAACAGTAATGTAAA